CTCTCATCCAATGTGTTAGCGATACATCCTAAGTTTACAACACCTGCAAATTTGATAAACATGTCATCAATCCAAGTCATTGATAAAAAATGTTAAAACCAGCCAGAGCCAAGTACAAATTGACCCCGGAGCAGCACACCACTATGTAATTCTGTCCCAGTTGAAAATGAAACACTAATGCCCACTCTTTGGGTCTGGGCATTTAAATGATTCTAATGTTATCTATCACTATTGCCTAGTCCATATTTCTTTATCTTATACATAAGAATATGGGGAATTTGTCAAATGTTTTGTAAAAATCTAGGTATGCTGTTGTCTCCAGGATTCCCCTGATTACCAGTCTGGAAACACTGTTAAAAAAGAAAGTGAAGTTAATCTGGCATGTAGCCATGCAGGCTGTTGCTGGTCACCACTTCCCATTCTGAAGTTTACTATTCCTTTCTAATATAATCTAATGTGGTCCTGGGTTCAAATTCCAACTCTGGCACTTGTTTCCTGTATAACTTCACTTCTGGGGGCCTCTTAATTTTCCTTCCAGGGTTAAATCTTATTGCTTTCTTATGAGTGAAACATCAGGATTCTCTGTTTATATTTCGGGCAGCTGTGTGATTAAGGAAGAAAAATGTGGTTCGTATTCAATCCTACAATAAGACACACTCCTAGAGAGAGAAGTGAAGGTAGCTTTAATTAAGATTATAATATACAAATAGAAAAGCCAGATTTACAGCAACATACAATTAGCAATACGATTATAGTCAGGCTAAGAATACAAAGGACAGCAATAATGTACGAAAACATCACCAATTTGGGGAAGCACCAACACCCGAAGTCCAAGTTGGGGATTTCCGAGGTACAGCTTTCAGGGTCCCGATTGGGAAAGTCCCAGGCAGAGTGTCCTCTCCATGGGTGAGAATCCAAAGATGGCTTTCCCAATTAGGATTTAAATAGGGCCTCTCACAAAGAAGGCCCCGTGCCAAAGGTGTTCATGATTCTAGTAGATGTTTTTACTTGGTTCAGCAACTGGCCAAGTTCCTGGAGCAAGCAAAACATCTTAGGATATTAATTAACTTGATACGTTCTGATGAACTGGCCAGGTTCCCAGAGCACATCTCCTGAGAACTAGCTAAATTCTCAGGTCAACATAGAGAACCACACTCTGGCTTATAGCCTAATGTTTAGAATCATACACGGGACAGGGGAGATCTTTCCTTATAAGATTTATCAATCAGCAGCTAGGTGGCGAAGTGGATAGAGTGCCTGGCGACTCATTTTTTGAGTTCAAATCTGGCTTCAGGCACTTAACTGGCTATGTGAGCCTAGGCAAGTCACTTAACTCTTTGCCTCAGTTTCCTCATCTATAAATGAGCTGGAGAAGGAAATGGCAAACCACTCCAGCATCTCTGCCAAGAAAACCCCAAATGGGGTCACAAACAATCAGACATGACTGAAAAAAAAAATGACAACTATTTAGATCCTCAATACCCATAAAGCATCAGAGTTGCCACATACATCTGCTAGGATCATAGATTCTGAGTAGGAAGAGAACTCTGGTTATCTAAACCAACCTTTTCATCTCAGATGAGGAAACTGAGGCCTAGAGAGATTAAATTACTTGTCCCATGTCACATAACTAGAAAACCAGAGTAAGATCTCATAGTGATTGTTTTTCCTCCTTATATCATTTCATGTTTTCTATATACTTGAGGCTTAATATATCTATATATACATATATATACACACACATATAATTGAATATGTAATATGTTATAAACACATATATACATATGTATATAAATGTAGACATACATAAATTCAAGTGCAGCTAGGCAGCTAGGTGGCTCAATGGATAGAGTATGGACTAGGCATCAGAACCATAGTTCAAATTCTGCCTCAGATACATCCTAGCTAGGTGGCCCTTGGCAAATCACTTCACCTCTCAACTTCAGCTTCTTTATATGTAAAATACAGACAATAACAACACCTTTACAAGGTTATTGTGAGGACTGAACAAGTTAATATTTGTAAAGCTCTTTGCAAAACTTGAAGCACCATTTAAATGCTAGTTGTTTATTATATTATTATTATATCTGATAGGAGTAACTTATGGGGAAAAGAAGAGAATTAACTTTACAAGAGAAAAGGAAATATTTCCAAGCAATCTGGTCTATTATCCATCATCACTTGATCATTATTGGAGGAAATGTCCTATCTAGATGCCTTTGTGAAATTTTATACGGTATGGATGGAACAGTTTCTATCCTCAGGCGCATAAAATTTTTAAAAAACCAATACTACAACAAAAATGGAACTGATTCATATTTTCATGGGAATACTCCAGGTTGTTTATCAGCACAGAACAGTGACTATATCAGGTGAATTACAGCTTTAAAATTCCTCCTCCCTGGTAGGTGGAAAGATTCCAAGTGTTAAGAGTGAAATCTATAATGTAAATTCCATTTGTTCAGTGAAAAATTTCTTATGAAAAAATAAATGAGATTAATATTCTTCATTTTGATGATTAGTGATCCTGGGCAAGTCACTTGATCCTGTTTGCCTCGGTTTCATTATATGTAAAATGAGCTAGAAAAGAAATGGCAAACCACTCCAATATCTTTGCCAAGAAAAGCCCAGATGGAGTCAAGAAGAGTTGGACAGGACTAATAACTGAACAACAAAGATTTGTATTTGTGTGTAATTAAGTTCAGCTGGGTGAAAGGACAAAAGAGAATTTAAAACTTGCAGTTAATTATCTTAAAGATCTATCCACCTAATTTGAGTGACAAGGCTGTATAGCCAAAAGAGCATGGGGAAATTAAAAAAAAAAAGTGAGCAAGCCTGAGACCTTGAGTCAGAGACTGCGAGGCTTTGAATCTAGCCTTACAAAACCACATCAGATTCTTCATCTGTAAAATGAGAACCAGCAGTAGCTAACTCACAAGGGTGAGGATATAATGAGATGACATAAATACAACACTTTTTTGTAAGCCTTTTGTTGTTTGGTCATTTCTGTCATGTCTGACTCTTTTGTGACCCCATATGGGGTTTTCTTGGCAAACATAATGGAGCAGTTTGCCATTTCCCTCTCCAGCTCATTTTACAGATGAGGAAACTGAGGCAAACAGGGTAAAGTGACTTGCCCAGGGTCACACAGCTAGTGTCTAAGGCCACATTTGAACTCCGGAAGATGTCTTCCTGACTCCAACCCCAGCACTCTATCCTCTTCACCACCTAGCTGCACTGCCTAAACTTAATACAGTGCAGTCATCTCTCTAGCACTGTCATTAAAAGGTTTATAGACTTCTGTAACAATCCCATAACTCAAAGAATGGTAAGATTATGAAACAAGATGTCTATGTTCAGAAGTCGGAGGAAGCCTTCCTAAAAAAAAAGGATGGAAAGGAAGGGCAGAATGAAAAAAGGAAGTGAAAGAAAGAAAAAGGAAAAGCCAATCTGTATAACTCAGGGGAAACTGCCCTACAGATCCCATAGTTAGAAATTAACAAAAGAACACAAAATAGGATGGTTTTCCCAGAACATTAGGGCTTCTTTTTGCCTCAGTTATCTGAAATGTCTGTCTCAATTGTCTACATTTTGTCCTGAGTTGGTCCAGCCTGAGTCATTGCCTTCCTTGTGAGTAGGGTTTTAGGTAAACTGCCACTATGGCTCAGTAAAATCTTTACAAAGAAACTACACTAAGAAAAAAAAAAGGTGTGGACAGTTTAGATACAGTAGCTAGTTATCCAAATTACATTAACCATTCATTACCTCCACACCCCACCAGCCTTGGCCCAGGTTACCTCCAACCCCTGGCTTTGCTAAATCAGCAACACTATCACATTCTTGATCTTCTTTTCCCAAAAGGCCGCGTAATGAGTGGTATGTATCTGGAGGGCCCAAGAATCCAAGAACTTTCCAACGTGTTCATCCTTCCTGCGTGAAGGGCCATGTGACTGTGTACAGAAAAGAAAAATGTGTCCGTCTTCGGGCTTGACGAAAAGCGCGCGTGTGTGTGTGTGTGTGTGTGTGTGTGTGTGTGTGTGTGTGTGTGTGTGTGTAGGAGCTGGGGTGAAGAGGAGAGGTCTGTGTTTATTAACAAGCATTTATTAGGCGCTTCCTAAGTGCTAGGCACTGTGCTAAGTCAAAAAGCATTTATTAGGCCCAAGTACCCTCGGGCTTGGCACTGTGCTAAACGCTGAGCAAACCAAAAAAAGGGGCCAACGTTCTAATAAACCAGAGGAAATCGAGGCAATCCTGCCGCTCCACAGGCAAAGGAGTCATGCAGCTGGGTGGTGCAGTGGGAGAGCTCTGGATCTGAAGTTCAGAGACGACCTCAGACAGCCCTCCCCCACCTCCCGCTCCGCAACTCGCCTGGGCCTGCATCAGTTTCCTCATCTGTAAAATGGGGATAGTAATGGCACCTACTTTCCCCAGGGTGGTATACTCATAAAGCGATCCTTGAAGCACTAAATACGAGGTCAGATGGGTGACTGTGGTCGAGAAAGGACGTCGAGGCAGGGGCAGAGGTGATGGACGCAGTCGTGGGCCCTGGCCCTTCCAACTCAGCTAGAGCCCGGAGGGAGGATTCCCACTGCCCCGCAGAGAGGCAGAGGAGGAGAACGAGCTAGGGCGGCTGGGGGCGAGGAGGGGCGGGGCGAGAGGGGGCGAGAAGGAGGACGGGTGGAGCAGGGAAGGGGGGGAGGCGAGAAGGAGGAGGAGGAGGGGTGGAGCAGGGAGTCGGGGAGACCAGGAGGGGCGGGGCAAGGAGGGGCGAAGAGGAGGAGGAGGAGGGGTGGAGAGGGGGAGGCACCAGGAGGGGCGGAGTGGGGGGGGAGCAAGGAAGAGGAGGAGGGGCGGAACATGGAGGTGGAAGGGGATAGGGCGGGGTGGAGGGGCGAGGGGGGCGGAGGCGGGGCGGGGCCGCACGCGCTCCTCCCGGGGGCGGGCCTCGGCGCCCGCCACTCAACCCCGGATGCCGGCGCTGCGTGCCCGGGCTGGGGCCCTACCTCCGCCCCCCTTCCTTTGCCAAGTCCTTATCCTCCGCCTCCTGCCGCCATCGGAGACGAGCCCGTTGGCTCGCCGGAGCTGCCGCATCAGGGTCTGGCCCGCGGACAGCCGGGGTCCAAGGGAGTGGCGCGCAGGCGCCGGAACAGCCCGTGCCGGGAGAAAGGCTGCGTGCTGCCGCCGCCGCCGCCGCCGCCGCGATGGGAGCCCGAGTGTCGCGGCAGGACTTCGAATGGGTCTACACGGACCAGCCGCACGCAGACCGCCGCAAGGAGATCCTGGGTGAGAACGCCGGCCGCCCCGGCCCGTTATGTACGAGGCCTCTTCCGCGCCTCCCCTCGCCCCCGGGACCGGTTCGGCTCAGCCTGCAAACCCTGGGCGGGAGCGGGGACCGAGCGCTTCCCTCCGGCGCTGAGGCCCGGGCCCGTTACCAGCCGCGCCCCCAGGCCCTGCGCGGGGCCCTTCCCCCTCTTCCCGACCGTCCCCGTCCTGCCTGCCCGGGGAGGGAAGGGGCGTCGTCCGGGGCCTGCTCACCGTCGCCCCCTCCCCCGGGCTTGGCTGAGCGGGGTGCTGGGTCCGCGGCCTCCCTCTCCATCCCTCTCCCCTCCCCCTCTGGCGGAGAGCGTGGGCCCGGGAGGCTGGGGGCCCTGGCCGCAGGCCTTCCTTCCCCCACCCCCACATCCTTTTGTGTCCTGCCAGAGATTAGTGGTGAGGCCTGGGGAGGAAATGAGAGGGAGCTGAACCTCCGAGCCAGCCTCCGATGTCGATGTTCTGGCACTGGAGTGATCGCGGTGCCCGAAACGTATTAGTCATCCCTCCCCTTACGTGCTGCAGAACTTCTGGGGTAAAATCGAAGGTCCAGGCTACCTCCCTCCTGCCAATGAACAGAGGGTATGGTTTCCACATATCGATCTTCCGGGAGCTTCAAAATAGGTGCAGAGATTGACAGGTTCCAACCCAGAGAGACTTAATGGTCAAAGCGAACTGGTGATGCATTTTTTTTTATCAGCATCTCAGAGGCGTGCTAGGACCTGAATTTGGGCTTGTCTTCATGTCATTTACTGACCAGATAACATGAAGATACCTGTCTTAGTACAGAACTTTTAGCTCAATATGCTTTCATACACATTAGGATTATTAAAGGGAAGAGCTAGATGGCCTCATCTAAGCCAGTTCCTTCATCCACAGAGGAAAGAAACTGGAAACCCAGAGAGGAAATCAATCACTCAGTGAAGAAACATTTATTATGTACCAGGCATTGTACTAAACAGTAGAGATACAAAAAAAAGGCGCAGAAGACATCCCCTGCCCTCAAGGAGCTTACAATCTAATGGGAGAGACAACATGCGAACAATTATACACAAAGCAAACTATATACAGGATAAGTAGCAAATAACTAAGAGGGAAAGCACTGGAATTAAGAGGGATTAGGGAAGGCTTCCTGTAAAAGGTGGCATTAAATGAAGTCATCAAGGTAACAAGCATTTATTAAGCACTTACCATGTGCTGGATACTGTGCTAAATTGAGAAATATATTGGGTAAGTTTATACAAAATCTGGTCCAGAAGCCAGTTCCTCTGTTCTTCCGAAAGTGATCTTTTACCTTTCACTAGCTCATGCTTGACTTTCAAGAGTAGAATAAGAGAAGCAGCATCACACAGTTGGGACCACAGCTATGTGGGCACCGTGCTAAATTGAGAAATAAATTGGGTAAGTTTGTACAAAATCTGGCCTAGAAGCCAGTTCCTCTGTTTTTCGAAAGTGATCTTTTGCCCTTCACTAGCTCTTGCTTAACTTTCAAGAGTACCATAAGAGAAGCAGCATGACACAGTTGGGACCACAGCTATGTTTGGAGTCATCGGAGGACTTCTATTCAAATTCCAAATTTGCCACTCTGTTGCCATGCCACCTTGAGAAAGTAATTTGTTTCTCTGCACCTAAGTTTTCTCTTCTGTCCAAATGGTGCTTTTGGACACAGTGGCCTCTGAGGTTCCTTCCAGCTCTAAATATTCAGTTGATCTGTGTGGGTTTGTTTGGCTACTGGTGGCCGTTATGATGTATACAGTATTTTTTGTCCAAGAGTTTTTTCTATAGTTAACCTGTATTAAAAAAATTAATGGATGAGAAATTGACATGGACAATTTCTGTCCCTGACAATAATTTAGTTTTGTTTTATTTTTTTCCCTAAACTTTGCCTCAATGTTACCACCAAGGAAGTACATGTAGTGCTTCAGATCACTAAGAATCCTACTTAGGATTATGATTATGTTTACAATTCGAGTTTTTTCCTCGTTAAAAACAGTTTGGAGGAGATTTAAACCCTCATTTAGAATGTATTTTGCATGCTTTTTTAAACAAATTTTAATGATTTGTTTTTATTATCACCTTGTTCAACTAAATGAATGTATTGGGTTAAGCATCTGTCAGTTTAAAAACTATAAAGGAGGTAAATGCAACAAAGCTTCATATTTTATATATTTGGTAAGGATTTTCCAAATATTAGGAATTGGCTACCTGTTTGATAAAATACTTAGAGAACACATGTACAAGACATATGTGGGTCAAATAAAAATGAATAAGGCATGGTTTTTACCCTAAAAGAAACCGAAATGTAGCTAGGAAGATAAGACAGATACCTAACTTTTAAAAAATTTGCGTAGATTTAATATTAACAAAAGGAAACTATCAAAATAAGGTATAAGATAGACAATAAAGCTGAAAAGTCAAAATTGGTTTTTTTCCTTGTTAAAATGTTGACTTAAAAGGGCAGCTAGGATAGAGCATCGGCCCTGAAGTCAGGAGGACCTGAGTTCAAATCCAGCCTCAGACCAAACACTTGACACTTACTACCTGTGTGACCCTGGGCAAGTCACTTAACCCCAATTGCCTAAAAAAGAAAAAAAAAGTTTACTTAAAGATAGTTTCAACAAGTCTAAAACAGAACTCCTCTTCACACTCCCTTCCCTTCATCATATGCCATTCTTCTTAATTTTCTCTTTTTTTGGCTATGGTTAAATGGTCATCTCTTCCCTTATCCTAACTCCACTACAGCTAATTGGCAAATTCTCCCCTCAGTTGAACCTCTGCATAGTCTCTGGATTCTCTCACTGCTCTCTGTACTCCTGACCTGGGTCAGATCTCATCACGTCTTGGCTGAGCTCTGCCAGATATTTCCTGTATAACCTTAAGCAGGTCACTTCAATACTCCAAAGTCTCAGCTTCTTCAGCTGTCAAATTAAGGTGTTAAACTGCATGTTTTCTAAGGTAGCCCTTCCCACTTTAAATCTAAGATCCTTTTGTATTAGCCTTCTGATCTCTTAGCCTCCAGCCTCTACCTCTCCATTATACTCAAAATAGTATTTCTAATGTTCTGCTATGGTCACCTTCCATGTTCAGGGGGAGAAAAAAGAGCTAGTTTTTCCATTTGGGTTGTCTGGAACACTCTAAAAGAAAGACTTGTTTTATCAGAAAGATCCAGTCTCTTGAGAAAACCCAGTTGTCATCCCAAGACAAATACAACCACTGCTTTCAGCCTTGAAGCAGTTTTTCTTTTGTTCAGGTAATGCTTTTGTGCATAGAAGGGAGTGAAGCATATCAGTATCACAAATTATAGGATGATAATTTAGAGCTGTAAGGCACCTCAGAGCTTATTAAGGCCATCCCTTTCACTCTAAAGTTGGAAGAACTTGCCCTGGGTAACACAGGTAGGATGCCACAGTCTTTGAACTCACTTTCTCTGACTCCATATCCAATTCCGTATCCAACATACAGCTAGATCCAGATTATTGTGAATAATGTTTTTCCATTAGTGGTTGAATGTAGTCTCCTTTGAACATTTTGGTGACTTAGAAGAAAAGTGTAGACTCTATATGAGTTGAGTCAGAGATGATGATGGGGCCCAGGGTAGGGGGCTAGGAAATGGAAATTGAGTAGTAGTAGTAGTACAGAGTCTGTTCTAGTCTTTACAATTCCCATTCTTCTCATCTACAGAAGTTACCTTTTACTACTAGTATACCCATCTCGAAATACAGAGGGTTTTTTTGTTTTGCTTTATTGACTTTAAATATTTTTTTCAAAATTCACTGCTTGTATGTTGAACACAAGACAAGAATAAAACAGATCAAATTACAGTGTCGTGCCAAAATCATAAGTAAGCATAACTTTAGAGTCAGAGTTTTATTTATTTTATTTACTTATTTATTTGTTTTTTGGGTAGGCATTGGGGTTAAGTGAGTTGCCCAGGGTCACACAGCTAGTGCGTGTTATGTGTCTGAGGTCGGATTTGAACTCAGGTCCTCCTGAATCCAGGCCCGGTGCTCTATCCACTGCACCACCTAGCTGCCCCTAGAATCAGAATTTTAGAGCTGCAGGTATTTTTAAAAATCAAAAATCACCTATTCCAATTCCATTTATTTTGCAGATATGGAAACTAAGTTTCAGAGAATTTGATTGATTTGCTTAATGTTGCACAGCCATTTAGTAGAATTCCATGTAGTGAGAAGAGCACTGAGTCAAATCCCACCTCCAACTGGCACCACCCCAGTTTCCTCCTCTGCAACTCATTACAATTTTGCTTGTAAGAGGCAGACATTTGAGACCTGTATGACCCTGGGCAAGTCACTTAATCTCTGCCTACCACAGTTTAATATCTTCTAAAATGAGGATAATAACAACACTTAACCTCCCAGTGTTGTTGTGAGGATCAAATGAGAAAATATTCAAAGGGCTTGGCAGACCTTAAGCACTATGTAAATAATAGCTATGAGGATCAAAACAGATAGTGTTTAAGTACACTAAAGCACTACATGAATGTCAGGCATTGTTTTATTTACCTCGGTTATTAGTATTGTAGAACAAAAGATTTTCTGACACCAGGCCAGGCTGTGTGCACTACATTGAGTCTAAAGTTTGTTTTGAAAATTCAAATATGAAAGTTCATTTAGTTTGGAGCACTGATCTATTTTTAGTATTTATTTTCTTGTTACTAATTCTTTTTTTTCCTTCTCTTCGCAGCCAAGTATCCAGAAATAAAATCTTTGATGAAACCGGATTACAACTTGATCTGGATTGTGATTTTGATGGTTCTTGCACAGTTGGTTGCATTTTACTTAGTAAAAGACTTGGACTGGAAATGGGTTATGTTCTGGGCTTATGCCTTTGGCAGCTGCATTAGTCATTCAATGACCTTAGCTATTCATGAGATCTCTCATAACCTGGCATTTGGCAACTGCAATGCTCTTTGGAACCGGTATTTTGGAATATTCGCAAATCTTCCTTTTGGCGTTCCATACTCTATTTCCTTCAAGAGGTACCACATGGATCATCATCGATACCTAGGAGGGGATGGTGTTGATGTGGATATTCCCACTGATTTCGAGGGCTGGTTTTTCTGTACTCGTTTTAGAAAATTTATATGGGTTATTCTTCAGCCACTCATTTATGCTTTTCGACCAATGTGCATCAACCCCAAGCCAATTACTTATTTAGAAGTTATCAATCTGTTGACTCAATTGAGTTTTGACATTTTTATTTACTATTTTTTTGGAATCAAATCTCTTGTATACGTGTTTGCAGGCTCAGTACTTGGCCTAGGTTTGCACCCAATTTCTGGACATTTCATAGCTGAACATTACATGTTTTTAAAAGGACATGAAACTTTTTCGTATTATGGACCTCTTAATTTAATAACCTTTAATGTAGGTTATCATAATGAACATCATGACTTTCCCAACGTTCCTGGAAAGAACCTTCCATTGGTAAGTCTTTGCTCATTTGTTAAGGCTGTTTGTTTCTCTGTGTACCTAGGAGTATTTAGAATGATTACTCCCGATTTACCTAATTTGAACAGGAATAGTGTCAAATAGGTTTTTATAATCTTAGCTACTAATTTTAAGAATCCCAAATTGTATACAATGAAGAGAGTCCTTCAGTAAGGTCAGTGAGGAATAAATTTCCATCTTTCCAGTTTGGTTTATGCAATTGTTATGAACTAGTCAGAGAGAAAGCTAAAGCCTTTGCTACTAGCAAGAGAGTACTCTCAACGAGATTTAAAGAGGGACTCTTCGGTAAGACAAATCCATTTTTCTGAAGGATTGTCAAAAGCCAGCGTTTTCCATTCTTAAAAGTACTAACAGTATATAGGCCTTTAGAGAGGCCAACTTAGGCTCATAGGATTGAGAACTGGAAGTAACTTTACTGATCAGGGAGCCCAGCTCCCTCCTTTTACAGATAAGGAAACTGAGGCTCACAAGTGGAGTGACTTGTGCAAGGTCATCATTTTGTCCTTTGACTCGAAGAAGACCAGTGATATCTTGATTCTTGTGAGAATTGGATTTGAGTGAGGCAGAGTTGCACAAAGTTGACTTGCCCAGACTCACACAGCTAGTAAATAGTAGGCTGCAATTGGAACCCTTAGGCCTTTGGCTCCAAATCCAGCACTTTTCCCACTACACCACAATGCCTCTTCTCTGCTGGTATCTTGTGGCCCGAAGTGATGGAGAAGTTCTGAGGCTCCGCTAATCATAATCACCTCTAACTAGATGAGGCAGTTGGAAGAATTTTGAAAGCTGTTATCGTGGGTTTAAATATAACTGTGCAAAAAGTTTTGAGTTCTGAGCCTTCTAGGCAAAATTCCAAAAACTATCCCCTAACCAAAAGGAAATAAATACCTATAGATTAGAAGAATTTACAACATCTAAAGAATCTACTCCTGTATGCCAAACTTTCTTGGAGAAGACTAGACAATTCAGAAATGTAAAGTCTGGATTAGCAATTGTTACTTCACTTTAGCAAACTCTTTACTACCTGATTGGCCTCTCTTTAAGGAGAAGGGGCTGCTGTCCTACATAGTTAATAGATTCCATTGCTTTAAAGACATAAGAGGGAAGGGGCAGCTAGGTGGCACAGTGGATAGAGTGCCGGCCCTGGATTCAGGAGGACCTGAGTTCAAATGCGGCCTCAGACCAAACACTTGACACTTACTAGCTGTGTGACCCTGGGCAAGTCACTTAACCCCAATTGCGTAAAACAAAAAAATAAAATAAAAATTAAAAAAAAAATAAAGACATAAGGGGGGTTTCTATCATTAGGATGAGTAGTTAGGTCAATTTTTTGTTTTATTTTTAAACCCTAGGGACTTTACCACTGGTGAAATCTTAAAACAGCAAAGCAGTTGTGGTGTAATCTGAAACCATTATGCAGCTTACTCTGTCGTTATAGCCATGTGCAAGTATGAATAGCAGATGTGTGAGGCCAGTCTTTCAGCTTTGTACTTTTGTTTCCTCTTGTCTGAGTGAAATGAATTCTTTTCTTTTTTTCTTTATGGTTCAACTAGAAAAGCTCAACACATTTTGAATTGAAAATTTCTGAGAGATACTACTTTTCTCATAATCTACAGATTTGTATACTGTGGAAACTTGGTCTAGTTTGGGTAGAATTTGCATTTTGATCAGTGTTAATTGTCACCAAATGCAGTGGTACCAACAAAGATTCCTAACTTCCTACTCTGCCCTGTTTTCTCTGTCCTGATTAAAGTGGATGACTTCTAGGAATTTTTTGATCTTCCCCACAAATAAAAGAGCATAGTCTGTGGCTCTGTGGTTAGAATGCTGGACCTGGAGCCAGGAAGACCTGAGTCCAAATATGACCCTGGGCAAGTGAAGTAACTTCTGTTTGCCTCAGTTTCCTCATCTGAAAAATGGGGACATTAATGGTACCTACTTTCTAGGGTTGTTATAAGGGTCAAATGAGATAATATTTGTAAAGCACTTAGCACAATGCCTGGCACATAGTAATCGTCATGTAAACGTTAGCTGTTGTTGTTATTAGCTCTCCTGGACTTGTTGCTGCTAGCAGTAATCTCATTTGAATTAGAAAAGAAGAAGCAAGTTTATAGAGTTAAAAGATTTGCCCAAAGTCTTCACTACATTAGACCTAGGATCAGGATCTTCTTAGTCTTAGCCCATTTTTAAAAAAGTGTTATAAAAAAAGCGCTGAGCTTGAACGTACGAAATGGGATTCAGTGATAATTTAAATTTATTATTTCGGCTTATTGTTATAATTTAAAGTTCCACAGATGTTTTGAGAATTGTTTTGTATAATATTTGAAACTCAATTTAGGGGCTAAAATTAAGGATTAGATAGAGTAACATTTCACTACCTTTTGCAGACTTTCATCATACGATGAAAATTTTGCTATTCTATTCCTTCATTCCTAGGGAATTTCAGACTATAAATCATATTTTATCTTTATCTTTTTGATCCTCAGTTCTTTTAATAAACAATTGGGAATCACCTAGATCAGATTTGTTTATGCTTAAAATTTAAGAATTGTGTGATTTTACTGTAAAGATTTTGAATTTATTTAGGATTTATGTAGGGACTATTTTCTCTCCCCAGCACTACCTACTTAGCATGGTACCTTGCACATAGAAGGTGCTTAATACTTTTCTAATAAGTCTTTCTTCAGCAAACATTTATTATGAGTTTACTAGGTACTGTACTAAGTGCTAGGGATACAAAGAAAGGCAAAAGCATGGGTCCTGCCCTCAAGAAGCTCACATTCTAATGAAAGAGGGAACATGCTATTAACTGTTCATACAATATATATACACGCATTGTAAATGGCTGGTAATCTCTGTGGGAGGGCACTTTGGGGAAAGGGAACTCTATGTGTGACCTTTTGATGAGGGTAAATCACTGAATCTTAGAGTAACTACTCTTAAGACTAGTGGTTCTCAAAGTGTGGTCCGAGGATCCTTGAGTCCCTTTCAGGAGGAGGGTCCATGAGATCAACACGATTTTCATAATAATATAAAGTTTCCAGTTATTTTTAATTTTGTCTTTTTAAAATTTTTTACATTTTAATAATATACTAAATGTTGATAGACAGAAACCACATAAACAAAGGCTCTTTAAAGGTCCTCAGTTAATTTCAAAAGTATAAGGGATCCCGAGACCTAAAAGTTTGAGTACCACTGCTCTAAGACTCTAAGCTGCTTCGTTCTTTCCCAAAGAAAAGGTAACTTCTGTTCCACCTTTGTAGAAAAAAAATTTTTATAGGACTTTTGGATAGTTAGGAGAATAAAACTGAAGCAGGAGCCTTCTGGAGGGTGTTTGAAGGACATTAGCAGTGCCTGAAGTTGTGCCTTAGGGGTATGTATTAATCTTCCAGCCACCTATGAGGAAGTATTGTGAATAAAAACAAACATTTACATTATGATAATCTTTCTTTTCCAAGCAACTTATTGTCCCTGCCTTACCGAATTTCCTTGGTGCACTTTTATTTGCTTTGTTGGTGTTTATTTGTGGATCCAAATCTAATTCTAGGAGTTGAAATTATATATTAAGTGGTCCAGCAGCCAAATCTTCATCCGACTCAGTCCCGTGAGTTTTCAAATTAACCACAAGAAGTGTTTCTTCAGGCCCTCGGTGTGAAAGATGCTATGGGACACAAAAACAAAACGAAAAACAGGACATTGCACCCCAAATGTTGACTAGGCATGGGGCAGGGGAGTGAGTTATGTCTGTCTGTGCAAAGACTGGTAGTGAAATTACTGAAAATGATTGGACATTTTCTAAACTTCAGAAACTCCCGGCCTGACCATTGCCCAGTTTCTTTTTTCTTCTAGGCGATTACCTAGTAGCTTAGTTTGAAGTCATAGTAGTAACACCAATAACTAACTAGCTAGCTTTTGGTGCCACCACTCCCCTCCACAGCCTTGACACTCCTCCATTTTGCTAAAGAGGCTGAGTCTTTCTGGACATACTTACTATTGTAATGCAGACTGCTTTGAATTTAGCTTTGTGTTCTGAAGTTAATTTTAGCTTTCAGACAGTCTAGCCTGCCCTACAATGTATTTGGGCCCTTAATCCCTAAAACAAGGGAAAACATTTTAATATTTTGATCACGACCTGTTAATCATATAAAGTGTTGGTACTATATATAATGCCTTATCTTTTAAATGTTTGTTGGGGTTTTTTTGTTTTGTTTTTACTGCAGGTGAAAAAAATAGCAGCAGAATATTATGACAACTTGCCCCAGTACAACTCCTGGATAAGAGTGCTGTATGATTTTGTGATGGATGATTCTATCAGTCCCTATTCTAGAGTGAAGAGACATCTAAAGGGAGAGGTGAAACAGGATTAATACACCAAACAAAGGAGAGCTCTTCACGGTAGCTTTAAAAATGGCTTACACATATGTATATTACTTCCTCTTATATTTATATTTTGAATTATTAAACTTAAGACTAAGGTGATTTGGAAGCTGCCCATGTACAGTTTCCAAGTAGGAGCTCTACAAGAATTTTCAAGACTCTAACATGATTTTAACTAATTAACATGCTTCTTCTGTGTCTAACTTTCACCTGTGTGACCTGAATAAAACTATGATTCAACTTGCTTCTATGCCATTACATGTAGTTTTTAAAAACTATATTTAGCAGTGTTAACATTTTTTTGGAAGCATATTGTAAAAAAAAAACTTCTTAAGAAGCTCTGTTTCTGTTAACTCACTGCCCATTTCATTCATCTGTTTATTGCCTTCATTGTGTGCAGGGAATGGTCATTACAAAGTTGAGCTTAAACACACATTTAGTAAACTGGATTATTAATCACATCTATTTCTTCACTTCTTGCTTTAACATTGCTCAGTAAAGGGGTGGGGGAAGGGACTAAAATCATAGCTTACTAAGTTATAAATAACAGTAACTGGAACTTTAGAAATACTAAAAGAGAAGTCCTTAGTGGAAGGAAAAAAGCACATTGAAAATAGTTTTAGTGTATGTTTTGGTGAATCAGTGCCTTTAAAAGGTTTAGGGCTGGGCCAATCTTTATTATTACATTCATGTTAAGGTGACATTCATCAATCAATAAATATTAAGCACCTAGCATGTGGCAGCAACTGTGCTAAGCTCTAGGGATATGAAAGAGGCAAATAACAGTCCTTGCCCTTAATGAGCTTAAAATCTAATGGGGGAGACAACATATTTGGCTGCTGAAATGTCCATTTAATATGCTAATTTCATTTTCCTAGAATTACATTTGGATCCACAGATAAACAACAAAGCAAATAAAAAGGAATCCAGTAAGGTAGTATGGAAAAGAAAGATATCATGAAGAGAATGAGTATTGTTGGGAAGTGAGGCAAAATACTTCCTGGTTTGTGGTGGGATATTAATGCATTTCCACAGGGCCCAACTTTAGGCACTACTAAGACCCTTCAAACACAGCAAGCAAGCTATGTACTGTGAACTGTGAACCATTAACCCCAGGAATCCCAATTTGAAAGTCTGCTTTAAGAAAGAGACAAATGAAATTAGGGTACATGTGTCCGCAGTTTAATTTCTCAAAGTGGCTTGACATATATTGTATGTCTCCCTAAGGGGACGAGTTCAGAACTGGCTCAGTTTGGGATTTTGGGGTACAGCCTTATATGCCCTTTTAAGAATAAGTGTTCCCAAAGGGTGCAAATCAACGTGATTGGTCAACATACTAGGAAATAGGTCATATTAAAATGAGGTCTTGAGTACGTGCTTTAGATCACAGTCCACAGGGGCCAATATCACTTGCCATCAAAAGGAATACCACCTCTAATCATGGAAGTCTGTCTCCACCCAAACCTGAGTAGGATAAAATCAATTCAGGCTTCGGTTGGAGTTTGACCAAAATAAGAAGATTCAAAGCAATCTCATCATCAGAGATATCCTTCTGAAGAGCTTTGGTCAGAAGGCTGACAGGGAGCTCTGAGTCTCCAGTATACAGACTACCAAGAGAAATAATTTTTAACAGTACAGAATAAGGATATAATTAACAGAAATAAGGCCCTAGGATTAAGAGGATTTGGGAAAACTTCTTATAAAAGATGAAGTTTTAGTTGGGACTTAAAGGAAGCCAGGTAAATTAGTAGATGGAGTTGAGGAGGGAGAACATTCCAGGCATAGGGGACCACCAGAGAAAATACCCTTCAAGAGGTGGAATGTCTTGTTCCTGGATCAGCAAAGAGGCCAGTGTCACTGGATCAAAGACTAGTGGGGAGTGAAGTGTAAGAAACCCAAAAAGATAGGAAGGAGCTAGTTAGGAAGAGCTTTGAATTTAATCCAGAAGTCATATGGACTCATTCCAGTTATTGAGTAAGGAGGTGGGCAATTTACCTCAGACTTGTGCCACAGGAAAATAACGTGACTGGAAGATAGATTGGAATGGGAAGAGATTAGAGGCAAGCTAATGTACCCGAAGGCTATGTTTGTGATAATCCAGGGTGGTAGCAGTATCTGAAGCCAGAAGGGTGTATTTGAGAGATGACTGCAAAACTGGATATGAGGAGGTGATAATGAGAAGAGTAAGATAATTCCTAGCCTCTGTTTTGGACCTCAATTGAGTTTAAGATATCTACTGGACATCTAGGTTGAGATGACTGAAAGGCAGTTAGGATGTGAGTGAGGCGGGAGACCTGCAGGGAGTTCGGGGCAGTATAAGTAAATTTGAGAATCCTCAGCATACAGGTAGTTAAATCCATGGGGGCTAAGAAGGTCACCAAGTGAAACAGTATATGGGTAGAAGAGAAGAGGATCCAGGAACAAAACCTAAAGGACACCCCTATGGTTAAAGGATGTGATCTAGATGAGGTCTCAAGCAAAAGAAACTTGAGAAGGAGTAGACTAAGAGGAGGAGAATCAGGAGAGAGTGTTATTCGGAGAACTTGGCGATAAAAGTGCCAGAAAAGGAGGGTGAGCGACTGTGTCAGAGGCTGCTGAGTCAAGGAGAATGGGAACTACCACTGGATTGGGCATCTAACAGATCACTGGTGACTTTGCAGAGAGAAGTCTGGGTGAAATGATAAGGTGAAAAGCTTCACTGTAAGGGGTTAAGAAGAGAGTGAGAGGAGAAGAAGTGGAAGAACCTATCCCAGATAGCCTTATCAATAGTTTGGCTATACAAGGCAAACGAGATAGAGGACAACAGTTAGCAGATGGAAGGATCAACTGAGTGTCGTTTCAGGATGGGGGAGATATGAGCGTTTGGGCATGAACCAGCTATTAGAAAGCTTCAGTGAAAATGAGAAATGTCTATTTGACCACCAATTTGTCTTATTAGTGTGTATAGAAAACATGCGTATTTCTTTCATCTGTCAATGTGTATTGTTGGGTAAGTGATACACATGAATAGTCCAGGCCTGAGGTGGTAAGGGGCTTACCCCAGAGTGGTGGCGGTGTGAAAAGAGAGAAGGGACCATTTTGGAGGACAATCTGAAATTAAGCCCAATGAATTATTCAACTGCCTAAACCTCATCATGGTATTGCTGGGTCAAAGGATATAGGCCCTATACCCTTTGATCAGGCCATACCATTCCTAAGTCTGTTTCCCAAGATGAGTAAGGAAAAAGGAAAAGAACCTATATGTTCTAAAATATGTATAGCCTCTCTCTATGTGGTGGCAAAGAACTGGAATCACAAAGCCCATGAAGTGGGGAATGGCTGAACAAGTTGTGGTATATGATTGTCATGGAATACTACTGTGCTATGAGAAATGATGAGCTGGTTGATTTTAGAAAACTATGAATAGACTGGCATGAGATAATGAAGAGTGAAATGAGTAGAACCAAGAGAACCAACAGCAATATTGTTTTAAGAACAACTTTAAGTGACTCATTTTGACATTATAAATACCTGAATTAACTACAAAGAACATATAAAGGAAGATGCTATCTGCATCCAGAGAAAGAACTGATACATATAAGTATGTGTAGAATGATTTTACGTGTTCATATATATATATGTACATATATATGTATACCTATTTGTGTCTAATGGTAGCCATGGAGGGGGAGGAAAAAAGAAATTTACATGATATATTATTTATTCAAAAGGAATAGCAAATTGTACATCTTAGAATTGCAGTTTCATGTGCAATCATCTTTTTGTTATTCTATTATGTTACGGAAATGCTTGTTTTATTTCATAAATTAAAAATAAAATTTTTAAAAAGAAAGAGAAGGGAGCATAGTCAATTCAATTCATTCGACATTTATTAAGCTACTACTGTGTGCCAGGCATTGCGCTAAACATGATGATACAAATAGGAAAAAGACGGTTCCTGCCCTCAAGGAGCTTATGATTTAATGGGGGAAGACAGTACACAAGAGGAAGCTGGAAAAGGGGTAGGACTACTCTCTCTACAATTGCCAATCTTTGAACTACTCTCTCTACAATTACCACTGATCTCTTCATTACTAAATCCAATGTTTTGGGGTTGTTTTTTTCTTTCCCTCAGGCCTCATCCTTCTTGATTTCTCTGCAGCATTTGACACCCTCCCTCATCCTGGATAGTCTCTTGCTCCTGGGTCTTCATGCTACTCTTCTCTCTTAGTTCCCTTTTCACCAGACTGGCCACTCCTTAGTTACTTTTGCTGGCTCATTGTCCATGTCCCACCCCCTAATTTTCGATGTACTACAAAGCTGTCCTTGGTGGTCTTTTCTTTCCTTCTATATATTCCCTTGGTGATCTCATTAGCTCCCATAAGAGAGCTATTGTCTCTGTATTGATGACTTCAAAGTCTATTTCCAGCTGAACTTCAGTCCCAACTGTCTACTGATCATTGAGATGTCGAGTTAGCATCAAACTCAACATGCCCAAAATAGAACTCAGTATCTTCATCCCCAAAACCACCTTTCCTTCAAACATCCCCTTTTCTGTCAAGGACACCACCCTCCTTCCATTCACAAGGATTTTCAGCCACCTAAGTTATTCATGACTCCTCTCTCCCTTTTTCCCCCATAGCTAATCAGTTACTAAGTCATGTTAATTCTACGTAATAATAATAGGAGCTAGCATTTATATAGCACTTTAAGGTTTGCAAAATGATCTAATTTTATCTTTACAGCAACCCTGGGATATAAGAGCTATCATTAATCTCTATTTTACAGATAAGAAACCTGAGGCAAACAGTTAAGTGACTTGTCCAAGCTCACACAGCTAGTAAGTATCTGAGACTGGATTTAAACTCAGGTCTTCCCTGCTCCAGGTCCAATGCCCTATCTACCTAGTTTCCTGTATCCACAATATCTCCCATCCATCCCTTTTTCTCCACTCACACAACTAGTATCCTAGTTTAGGCCTGGACTGTTATAATAGCTCCCTAATTAAACTATTTTCTTCTAGGACCTCCCCAGTCCAAGTCATCCTTAACAGAGCTGTCAAAATCACCTGCCCAAAGCAAAAGTCTGGAGTGTCATCATCCTGCTCAAGGGGTGGCCCGACTGACTCCCTGTAGCCTCTAGGATAAATGAACATCTCAGCTAGACCTTTAAAGCCTTTTGCCATCTAGCTCCGCTCGTTTGTCCTTCTCACATTTACTGCACCTCACCCCCCTTTATGTATTCTGTGTTCCAGCCACACTGGCCTCTGGACTGTTGCCTTGATTCCAGGCCATGGCATAAGATGATTCCTATTCCCTGAATGTTCTGTCTCCTCACCTTTGTGTCTGAAATCCCTAATTCCCTTAATATTCAGCACACGTGCCCTCTCCTGTTGGGAGTTTTTCTGATCCTCTTCATTGGTAGTTCTTGCACCCTCCTCAGATGATCAAGCATATGATATAGGTTTCTGTTTCAATATTAT